AACGGTCATAAACTACTACAAGACTGTTTCAGGCTGGACATAATGAAGAATTTCTTTACTGTCCAAGCCCCCAAGGTCTGGAACAGCCTGCCATTGGAGGTGGTGCAAGCACCTACATTGAACACCTTCAAGAGCAAATAGGATGCTTATCTTGCTGGGATCCTATGACCCCAGCTGACTTCCTGCCCTCTGGGTGGGGGGCTGGACTCAATGATCTTCCGAGGTCCCTTCCAGCCCTAATGTCTATGATTTCATAGATTTCTTTATCCTGTTCCATTTTTACTTCTGACATTTTATTGCCAATAACGTTACCTCTATGCACACTTTTTCAAGTTCAGTCCAGAGATTGAGTCGGTTATCCCCAGTGTCTTTCCCACTCACTTTCTCTTACCAAATAGCTTTCTCCTTATGCAATTATTCAGACCAAGACAAAGATCCATTAGGTTGTTAGTCCATTCTTCCTGTCAGTACAGGATTGTGACTATGTTTGACTATGTTTAGGGGGAGGGGAGAAAAGAAAAGCTTTTTGCTTTTCTATTGTTTTTATTTTATTTTATTTTTGTGGCTATTGCAGTGCATCAGACCAGAAGGATAGAGACATCAATTGCTACATATACTTGGAAGCCACACTCCCTTTGTTCCTGTTAGGAAGAGAGATCCAAGCCACTGGAAAGCCAGTTGGATCTATTTAAAGAAATGGGATATGCTACAGAAAGGTCTCTCTGGATTTGCAGTTCCTTCCCTTTCCATTTAAACCTCTATTTGTGTGACCAGCTTTAGCCTTACTGCATCCTTTATTTCTTCTCACACCCAAGAACATCCAGTTGTACTTGTACCATTACAACTTGAAGTCCGAGGATTTTACTGTCCCCTTGGTGCTGTAAGGAGAGGGCCACACTAAAAATACTCACTCATCATTCCACTTCTCCAAAAGTGCTTTATGAGTGCTTGAGTTAGCATGAATGAAACTATGTTAAAAAAGCCTGTTACGTTGTAGTATATTAGAACTTAAACAAACCTTACCTTGAAAGTTTAATTCGTAATACTGAGAACCTGCTTTAAATAAAACCGTTTTTTTCTGATTATTTAGGAAGGCCTCTTCGAGTTCCTCAGAAGTTATTGTAGCAGCACTATGATTCGATTGCTATAGAACAAAAGAAATGGGGAAGTTATTTCCATAGAGGTGTCCACTTGTGACAGACTAGATTTTGAACTTTAAAATAGTCATTAAGTGGACAGTTGCACGACATCAGCCTAACATGTCCCTCCAACCGCTACATAGAGCTAAAGAAATATTTTCAGTCTAGTTTTATGAACCTGAGAAATGTAAAGTGCACAAAGGAGGTTTAGAATAGAACGAATAAAACGGATTCACACAGGCAAGGCCAACAGGCAGGGTATACCCCAGTAGACATAAGCTTATTATTATCTTTATTATCATTCATAGTGTTTTAAAGGCCAGTATTCCTAAGGAACAGCCTTAAGTTTTCCTCCAAGCTAAAAGGTCATCTTTACTTCTATCATGCTGGATTGACAGATTTCAATCAGCTCTAAGGGGAGAGGGAAAGAGATGAGGGTAGTAGGTTAAGGACCACTGGATTTCTAAAAACTAGGAGGAGGAAGAAGGGTCTCCTTCTGAACATATCATCAACACCGCAACCATCCCCACCACATTTCTGCTTACAACAAGGAAGGGAAATGGCTACTTTCCATGTTCCATTTTTAAAGAATCTGATCAAATTTTCAGCAAATGGATTTGATTCTTCAGTGGAATATCAAAAAAACCCCAAGCATTTACAATCACATTGGTGTCACCAGACCTCACAGGAGTTGGAGTCTGGGTCCCTCAGTTTACCCACACCTTCTGTGGGCTGAGCAACCTGGCCCAAACTGTATCTCCTGTAATGCACCCCTGTCAGCAGTCACAGGGGCTGACATGCTGGTAGCACACGGGTATCAATCCCTTGAGGAAGTAGATGTTGTCCTGTTTATGCTAACTGCAAATAGTATTTCTCCATTAACATATTACAAAGTAGATTTTGCATGGCACAAAACTACAATGAATACGACATACATACAGGAGTAGTCACATTTATAAGGCCAATGTTAAGGTGTTGTAAAGGTGAAGTTTCTGAGCGAGTAACTAGGGGAATTAATTTGACGATTACATCCTGCTAAGTAGCAAATTTCTCACTGTACTCATTATAGGCCTAACCCTACGATAGTAACCAATATGCTGCCATATTGCATGCTGTCAGTGAAGGTGGTGTACCATACCCTGCTCCAAGAACTCATCCTTAACAAATTTAAGTGTTCCCTCCAAAGGAAACCTAGGGTTTGTAACACAGCCCATTGGGAAAGAAAACAAGTGCACTGTAGGAGTCCTTGGCTGTGGGGTATCATGGAAGATGTAGTCCACAAACAGCACAACCCACAGAGGAAAAATAGAAAATAAAGTACAAACGCTATAACCCAGGGGTGGGCAATTATTTAGGCTGGAAAGCCACTTGGGAAGATTTGGTGACCTGCTGTGGGCCAGGTCAGCAGCCCTTGCTACACCAGGTCAGCACCCTGTCCCCCCTGCAACAGCTCACCAAAACTCCCTAAGCCAGGGGTGGGCAATTATTTTGGCTAGTGGGCCACTTAATGAATTTTAGAAGTTGCCCTCTCAAAGGCCACACCTCTCTCACCCTCTCTCTCTCTTCCCAATCCCCACACCATCTGATCGCACGACCTGGAACTGTAGCATGCCCCAAATTGAAGCACACTCCACCCAGATCTGCAACACACCCCGATCCACACTCTGTCCAGAGCTGTAGCACACCCTGATCCCCACCCCAGGACCTGCAAGCCACATCTATAACTTACACCAGCACCCACCCAGTATGTTGGAAGCAGTCCTGGGCAGGCACCGGCATCATCTGTGAATGCAGCCTGCATGTTCTGGGTGGGGATTGGGGCATCCGTCTGGATCCACAGTTGACACCTCCATGTCAGCATTGGTCAGAAGCAGTCCTGCCTGCCTGCCCAGCACGACAGACAGCCCTGCCTACCCAGCACCATGCAGCAGCCAGAGCTGCCAGCTGCCTGTGCACTGGATCCCATGAGTTTGCAACCACCTACCTGCAGGCTGGATATAATCAGTTGGCAGGCCAGATCTGGCCCATGGGCCATATTTTGCCCACCCCTGCCATAACCCCTATGACCTATAGTAATGTCATTGTGAGTAAAATTATTTTTCAGCATAGTCAAGATTTTTTATGGGAAGTGGGCACTTCCTTTCCGCTAAAAAGGGTTTTTTTGGTTTAATTAAAGTAACCAGCTGTAGCTGGAAATTTTTAGTCATGCTAGAAGCTGGCTAGCAAAGCTGTGAAGGGTAGTTAAAAAATGCAGAAGTATATTTATATATCTAGGAAGCACTAAAAGACCTCTGGGCAACATCTAAAATGCACTGTTTGGAGAAAAAAAAAACAGAGACAACCATCTAGAGAGACTGGCTCAGATGGTTTGACATCAGCAGAAGAGGCTCACCAGTTGCCCATATTCAATCCACTCTCCATGTTCATCCTGCCAGTACCAGGCATACTCCATTTGGACAATAAAGTAAAGGCTCACGATGAAAGGCGCAGAAAAATGTTGATGCAAAAAATGGAACGGCAGATCAACTACTGGCGGTCTCCTGAACTCTAGAATGAGAGAAAGAAAAATATCCAGATTTAACAAGAACAATTCAACTGGAATCTTACCTGCTGAGCAACAGAGACAAGGAGGGATGCTCTTAAGCAGGACCTGCCCACTGAGTCCCTTTCCTTGGACACCAAAACCAGAACTGAAGTGGTGAACCTATCTCGAGGATGCCCCCCATTTGCTACTGTTAATCAAGTTGAAAATTGATTTCCAGAACATGAGCAAGGGGTGCCCCAAGAGTAGCTTCATCACTTCATTCCTAGCCTGAGCAGGCAACTTGGAAAAGAATCAACAGGCTGGGATGAGATGGGAAACAAGGTATGTTGTAGGGCAATGGTGCTCAACCTTTTGGCCCTGTAGGCCAGATAAGAGGCACAGGGCCAGTCCATGCACCAGGATCATGCCTGAGGGGTCCTGCACTACCTCCACCCAGTCCCATATGCATATCCCATCATCACCCTGCACAGAGCGCGACCTTTTTTGTACCAGGATCCATATGTAAACAAATGGCCAGTCTTTACCCAGTGCCCTGAACTCCCGACATGCTACCCCCATCCTCTGGCCCCAGCCCCCCCAGTGCATGAGGCAGGGGTGGATGTGTAGAGCATGGGGGGCCCCAAGCAGCCCCTCATAGGCTGGAACTCTGGAAGCCTGCAAGGGAAAAACCACAGTTTCTTCTGTTTTTCCTCTTTAAAGGAGAATCCATTTTTAAAGTTTGTTCATGACCCTTTCATATATTCTTGTGACCAACTTTTGGGTCACCACCCACAGGTTGAGAAATGCTGGGCTGGATAACAGAGCAGGGGGCTGAATCTGGCCTACAGGCCGGGGCTTGAGCACTTCTGTTGTTAGGTGAATAGACCTTGTGACAAGGAGCAGCTCCATGCAGAAGACCAAGACTCTGCACGCTTGGCAGGAGCTCCTTCAGCAGCTAAAGCTAGAACTATGAGGTGCTAGAGGAGGACTTGATTTGAGGGAACTTTCAAGAGAATTGCATGCCACTTCCCAGAGAACTTGGGTTAAGTGTGAGGGACCTCAATCTAGCCATGCAAACACATACAACTTTCAGAATCTATCTGATAAAGAGTAGCCAAAATCAAAATCCACCCCATGATATAGTTTGTGGATTCAAGTCCAGAGATGCTCGTATTTGTGCATTTTGGGTTTAGTTCCGTCTTTTTTTCTCACCTGGTCAGAAGAGGAAGCACCTGCTAAGTGACATAGAAGCATAAGATTGGCTCAGGACTGGACAAGTGTTGCTATTGCATTGATAGGGCTGGTGTGGTGTTAACAGAGATGTACCCCAGGTTCCACAATTTGGGTCCCAATCTAGTTTTCTTTAACATATATTTGGGGAGAAAGCAAGTCAGGACTATGGAGCTATACCCATTACATGAAAGTAAATTGCGTAGTTTGGATCTAAACCAGACTTCTACCAAGTTCAAGCATTTTTGGCTCCCTGGTTTTGACTTGGGCTCAGATATCTTGGCTACCAGAAGACAATGACACTCGGTTCTTACACCGTGCTTTTCATTTGTAGATATCAGAGTACTTTGCAGGGGAGGTACATGCCATTCCCCTCCTTTTATAAGTGGGGAAAAAAGCCCAAGGCATGGAAGTGACTTATATTAATTCAGCAGGCCAGTAACAGAACTGGAAATAAAGCCCACATCTTCCAGTTCTAACCACCAAGTCCAGCAATTGAGCAGAGTCACCAAAGATGACAGCTCATCATAGTATTTGAAGAAAGTTTCCCTAGCCCTTTTAACTTTACCACTCCAATTTCTAGTGCCAAAAACAACTAATATTCTTTCCAGACCTTGGCATTTCACTATCCCTTGTGTTGTATTTTCTTATAATTAATGCACCTACACATTCAAGGCATACCCATCTGCTTGAACTGAGCACCCAGGGGAGTTTTCCATCTATTGACTACTCTGTGAAATCCTATGAAATATGAACTAGTCAGGGAACTTCTGGAGGGACTGTATGTATTTAAATCAGCTGGTCTGGACAATCTCCGCT